CACCACAAGTTTCATCTGTAACAGTAAAGAATATAAATGGCATGCAGATTAGAAAAAACAGACTGTCCCCATTCTCAGATGGCAGGATCTCACATATGGAAAACAGCAAACAGGTGACACTGCTGTTCTCCAATAGTGAGTTGTCTGAAATAGAAGTAAAAAAAATCCCACTTTGTATAGTTATAAAAATACTAAGATATAAACTTAACAAAAGAGGTAAGAGATCTCTGCAATGAAAATTATAAACCACTGAGGAAAGAAATCAAAGAGAACACACTACAAAAAAGAATGGCAAGTTATCTTGAGTTCACACATTAGAAAAATCAACATAGCCAAGATGCCCAAGTGTTCTACAACATCTATGTTATCTTTATTAGAATGCCGTGAAATTCTTAATGTAACTGGAAAACCAGCCCCAACGTTTGTGTTCAACCCACACAATAGCCGAAAGGTGAATAGCCAAAGCCATCAAAAGCAAAAGAAACAAAAAAATCTATAATTAAAGCAGAAGGTCTTATTCTACCTGTTGTCAAAGTATACTAAAAGCTGTAGCTGAAGCTGGGTGTGGCAGTTCAACATCTAATTCCAGCAATGGAGAATAAGACAGGAAGACAGCAAGCTGGAAGCCAGCCTGGGCTACATAGAAAGACTCTATACTGAACATAAAGGTAAAGACTGTAGAGAGGAGAGAGGAAAAGTCACAGAAAAAAATAGTCTGGGAGTAAACCCATGTATCCACAGCCAATGAGGTTTGTTGTTGCTGTTGTTAGGTTATTTTCTTTTTTAAATAAAGGTGCTAAAAACAAGGATTTTCTAAGACACAATGCTGGGAAATTTGTATATCTACACGTAAAACAATCAAAGTAGGCACCACCACTCCTACACACAGAGAGAGCTTAGAAACAAAGAAATCAGATGGATTGAAGACTATTAAGTAAGTGTAAAGCCTGAAAGCTAAGAAAAGAGAAGGAAATGGGAAAACCTTCAGAACATTGGAAGGGGCAAGGCATCTTGAATAAAACCCTCAAAACATGGGAAACACCCAAAGATTGGCAAATGTCGTTTCCTCAGTTCACAGATCTTGTGAATGTGTCTTCAGAGTCATGCTTGACCTTGTGCTTCTCACAGTTGGTTTGATTGACACATTCCTCTCACTCACTCCTCTTTTCACCCAATGTTTTCTGCCCTTGTCTTCAGTGGGTGGTGGCTGTGGTAGCTCTCAGTGTACGTACAATGTTCTAGGAGGTAAAAGAGTCTTCTCACATTGATGTGCTTTGGTTGCCTCCATTCTAAATGTGTTGGGGGTTGATGAGACTCTTCCTGATTGTGGAAAACAGAACCAGATTCAGTAACTCAAATTTCCTTCCTTTGTAATGAGGTGTGTTTCACTCAAAGGTTGTTTCTGTGCATTGGTTTGTAAGTGGGATTACCAAATGCACTCCCAGTACTTGATGGTGAAGCATAAAACTGAAATTATATTACTTTTTGTTAAGTTCTCTGCTTATTAAAACATTTAGCAATCATTCTTTACAAAGATGTGAATGTCTCATAAAGCAAGATTTGGACAAACATGAAAGAGCCAGATACATAACTGGATTATGTTCTGAAGATATGCTGATATAAGATAAATGATTCCAATTAGAGCTTTTAAGTTTTGAAAAGAAAGGTATTTTGTAAAAATATATTCACTGTCCTTGTTCATTTTTTTCTTAGAAATGTCCACCAATATACTTAACTCCATAAGTACTACATTCTTTCATGTATATGAAGAACATATATGATGAGGCTTCTATAAGCATTAGGTGCAAATGTGATCCACTATTCATAAAAAGGAAATGAAATATCATTGATACCCATAGAAGCAGATTATAGGTAAGAATACCTTTAGGCAATATTACTCAACGATACTACAGATTTTCCCTTCTTTTGAGTTGTTTTTATAAAAGCTCATGAAAATAAAACCCTTTTCTTATGTAACCTAACAAATCCTTGGTCGAAATGTCTCCTCTAAATTCTTTTTGAAAATGGTGATCAGTGTTTAGTTCCTGTAACTTCTTCTGAACATCACCATAAAAGATGAGTCAGTAGTCAGTATCATGACTATACAGCCCCTTAGTAGTGCCCACAATTCCATAGGAGTCCTGCATCTTCCACAGGACCACAACAATGGTTACTGCCAGTTCCTAACTCTCACCTCCAATGACAATCTTCTCCCCCATTTCCCATCCTCCATTGCCAGATCCTTTGAGTTCCTCTTGAGTTTGGTTTGTATGCTGTGGGGAAATGATCTTGAAATTCTGAAGTAAGCTGACAGAATAGTATGGCCATACACTTGGCTCCTTTGCCTTGTTGACTTCAGTTACTTGGGAGGTTCCTGGGATTGTGTTTGATGATGTGTTCCCTTTTTCCCTAATCTTCTGTCTCTTGGAGAGACTAGAAATGGAAATCAGTTTTGTCTTTCAATTGCTACGATCAGTTCCTTTACATTTTTGCTGTATTGTACTTTTGAAATGAGCAGTCCCCCTTCGGCTCATTTCTCTACATGCACAGCTGAGCCAAAGCATCTACGTCGCCACCCTTCTTCCTCTGAAATCCCATTTAGGCAAATTCACTAAATCTACAGGAGTAAAGCATAGTCCCTGTTATTTCAAGTGACATTGTTCACAAAAGTTTCAACAGCTAAATGAAGTGACCTTCACGTCCACCATCTCTGACAATTTCTTCAATGTCTCTCCATCCCCATCCAGTTTCCATGCTCAGTAAGAGTGTCAAACTTGTCCTTCCTAGCTTTGTAAGTCTAGCTCCAGGGTCAGCACCTCAAGATGTAGCCACAGTTTCAGCAGGACGCACTTCCAGCACCAGAAGACAGAGTGGGGCTCCTCAAGTGCCAAATGCCACTACTCTCGGTTCTAAATGTTAGCTAAATTGCCAAGGTCGTCATGCTGCTTCCACTGGGCTTACAAGTGATTTCTTCTTCACAAGTCTCTCAGCTTGATTCAAATTGTTGCAACAAATACAAATTTCTGGATGTCTCCTTTTTTCTAGGCCATTCTCTATGATCTTTATAACATAACTACCTTTTATACAGTCCCACAAATGAATGTTCCAAAGCATGTAGAATAAGACTACAGATCTTCTCAAGAGACTGTCACAGAATTTCCAGTATACCAATTCTATTGAATTCTGATTGTCAAAAAAGTCAATGACCAATCTAGAGTCAGGGGTCAAAAAAGTGAGTTTCCATCTCTGAATAAAAGAAACAGCAAAATAAATGAGAATGAACAAGAAATCACAATACTAGGAGGCAGAACAGCCAGTGTAGTGGGAAGCAGGCTAAATAATTACAGTACTGAACCCCACCAGTTCATAACAGAGCTCTCACCAACATGGGCTTTGAAGACACAACCTGAATATGCTACACTGTGATGCTTGGTCAATATATTCTGAAGGGTAATGAATAATAACAGGAAAGAGTAGCATGAACAAGGCAGAAATGGGAATCGGGAATACTGAATTTAACTCATCAAAGCTGATCTTAATAATTGGCAGAAGTCTCTGCAGAGGTTATGGACCATTAAGTAAGGCCGGATATTATGCTCTGAAAGTAACAGTGGGCAATGTCATATGGAAACTGATCATTATCCCATGAGAGAAGGAGCAAACTAGAAGTGGACATTTGTCTTCTCGTTCTATAGGATGGCATTGGCCTCCCTTTCCTTCAATGCCAGGATAAAAAGTCATAAAAGGCTTATTTATGTCTAAGAGGTTTCAACATAAAACAGACAAGCTAGATTCATTCCAGGCTAATTCTTAAAGCCTTCTACAAAAGTCAGGAACGGGTTGGGATGGAGCACAGAGGTACATGGGTGTGCGTACACTCCAACTACCACTGTACACACCCAGGTCCAGTCTCTAGCACCAGAAAAAAATCAAAGAAGCACAAGAACTTGTTGCACATTGTCAAGACCTGATCTAATTCACAATGCTGGGTCAGTACAGGGCCTGATGAACGAAACAGGACTACTCTCTTCTGCCTGTTTAGACTCTGCTGATGTAACAGAAGGAAGACCCTGTGGGCAGGGTCTGTATACTCATCCACACAGCCAGGAAAGAGTTAGATTCATGTGTAGACACCATTTAACAATGTAAAAACATGAGTAAATGTCATTTAACCTTGGAATACAGTGTATTATGACATAACAAGCTAGTAGTGTTCATCTTGAAAGATAGATTGGACACATGAAAAGATGCATTGAGAGAATGGAAGCAGAAATGTCGGTCAAATACAGATCCATCTAAAATATACAGTTACGGATTCAAATCTGAAAAATTATTCAGTGAATACTGGATCACAGCATGCTTCACATGGCTACAAGGAGACATGTCAGTTATAGGTCACATGTAGAGGATTTTGTCAAGGTCAGCCCACAATCATAGGAAAGATTAATAAGTACATGGAGAAATGATATTAGAATGTTAATTTTGTGTTTCAAAAGAAGATAATGCATTCTATGTCCAGATGTGGTTCATCAAAACCAGTCACAAAGGAGCTTAAAGAACAACACTATTTTGTTAAGAAAACTGGCTTTCTACTAACAGTTCCATGGTCACTATTATTGAAAATGCCAATTTATTTTGATATACTTACCAAATCTTGCTTTAACTAGTGTAATAAATTACCTGTAAGTTGAATCAGAGCAAGGTGTTATTCAATAGGAGGCTTAACTGAACTCCAAAACACCAAACAGAGACTCAGGTGCCCAGGCCTTACCCACCTGTACATTGACCATCCCCTTAGTCAAGCCTCCTATACTCTGCCCTCACAGTTTACTGTCTGCTGCAGGAAATTATTAGTTGCTGGTTGTTTTTTATTTCTTTATTTATACTAAAATCACTCTTCCCTGTGACTTGTGTACTATTATATGTTTTAACTTGTCATGTTATGACCTATTGTCTATTTACATTGCATTTAAGTTCCGCAAAAGTATGTGTTATCTTACCTGGTAGTAGATGTGACTTCTCTTCCCTCTGAAGTACCATGGCATGGAGGCATGGAGAGCCCATAGCTACATCATAGCTCACCTCCATGTGCAGAGTGGAGGGGAAGGAAGTAGTTCCCAGGGTGCCAAAAATGTGCTACTTCCTACTTAGATTACAAGACACTCTAGGAAACAGCTGGCAACAGAATGCCCAGTTCCCTCTCTGCAGTCACAAAGGGAAATGAGGAGCTACTGTGAGGTATTTTCTGGAGCTCTCCTGGAGGCCAGGCTATTGCTAGCTGCTCACAAATCACAAGCTCATTCATGAATGAACCGGTCTTTATCTCACTATCATCCTTGAATAACTTCCCAGAGCCAGAACTCAGGGAGCACAGACCTTCGGGAAGATAGTGTATTATGCCGCTACTCCATAGTGGGAGAATTCGGTCGCAGCAAAAATGTTTATTGGCTGTCATGCCTGCTAAGAGCTGGTTACTCTCCGTACCGCCTCATTGAGCCAGCCTATGGGGCGGCTGTTGGGATAGCACCACAGAAGAAATTTCACGAGATCCACCAGGCAGAGCACATAGAGGAAGTTCTAGTCTTAACGATGGGAGTTTAAGTTTCCTGCTGAGAATCCACTTAAAGAGAAGCCATGTGTCACTGCATTTTTAAGATTCTAAGTGAGAAGGAAAGAAAAGCCCTCTGTGACCCTTCTAGCTCTAGGGCTGTGAGGTGTAGAAGTCCCCAGCTCTGTTCTTTCGAATGTAAGATGGGCTTTCTCTGTCACCGACAAGCCTGGAGTTAGGTAAAGCTGACAAAGGTGTGCCAGTGTGGGGTTTGCACTGTAGGAACAAGAAAAGTGACAAAGAATACCTGGAAAAATAACACAGACTGCACAAATACAGTCATAATAGAGTATCACATTCAGAATGGAAGGTAAAGTGTGTTCCTATAATTATTCTAGCATAAAACGTAAATGTGGTCTGTTTGTTCACATCAGCATATATTGAAAAAGATTTCAAATGAAGAACAGAATTGCAAGCACTTAGAGAGAAGAGGTGTTTTATTTACAGAAATTTCATCTCAGATAGCACTATGTCCTCCAATGGACATTAGTGTTGCAGGGGGACACAGGTAATATCAAGATGACCAAGGTGAGTTGGATTAATCACAACAGCCAGTTCCCGTGTATGTGACTTGTACAGTTTCACTGAGTCTCACGACAAGTGTCTCATGTGAAAAGCAATATTTTCATATGTTGCCATTTGCAAATTTTTAGTTTTCAAGGAAAGATCTTGCCTTTCACTTTGTACTGGGGCTCACAAAATACACAGATATTCCTTGATGTCAGGGGAGCCATTCTCAAAGAACTAAGATTTGAGCAAATGTTAACATGAGACACATTTGGAAACTTTAGCAGGCCAATGGAAAAAATTCTTGAAAAAAAGAATCAGAGGATCCACTTCTACTGGATCAAGTGATCAACTAAGTCTAATGGTGATAGAGAGTGGCATCCGGGCATCTTAAACAGCAGCCATTGACACTGACTGACAAGTGAAGGGCCAGGCTCACATCCAAGGGGTAGACATTAGAAATGGAAAAGGGACAGCAAACATAATGTACTCTGTCGGTTACTTAGGAAGCTGGGCATGGTGGCACAAGCCTCTAATCCCAACACTCTGCAGGCTGAGGCTCGAAGGTTGCAAGTATGAAGGCAGACTAAGCTAAATAGTGTGACCTTGTCTACAAAACCCATAAAACCTTAGGAGTCAATCCTCCTAATTATTAATAAAGTAATTATTGTTAAACTCCATGAGATCTGCAGAAAGGAAATATCTTTCTCTGGACTCAACCTGAGTTTTTTAGCAGGAGAAACAGATCCGCTCCCTCCATAGCTCTTCAAAGTCCACATGCAAGTATGAAACCCTAGCCCAGGGTTCCTCCCTGCATTTCTTCTCTTGAAGGTAGATTTGAGGGACACTTGCTCACTGCAATCTGTGTCCCCATACTTCAAGTATAACAGCAGAAATGGATACATGGGGGATTGGTTAATAGCACACTATATAAACAATGAAAGAAGTGGTAAGACATAGATTCCTGGAAATCAGGAAGGTAAACTTTTATCAACAGATAGAAAGGAGTGAAGAGTAACTCCGAGAAAACACGAGGTCTGGAAAGTATTCCAGAAGAGCTCAATTCTCAGCCAATGGTACTGTGCACATCAGAAGTCCTTTGCTTTGTCACTGCCTTCTATCTAGATAGGCAGACTCACAGACTGCATCATGGGGAAAGAAGACACTTTGAAAGAATGAGTGTGACACATTGCCACTCTGCATCCACTAGCTAGCTGAATAGCTCACTCTCCTGACCTGTATTTGTAATGGAGACAGAAGGATGGGTGGACCACATGGAGCATTTTGTCAACCATTCATGGCTCTCTTTGTACCCATGCTTGTCATCTAAGTAGTAAATATGATTTATTCTCTTTACTTTAAAATTAATCATCCTAAAATTGAATTACAAGTGACCTAGTATTTTTCTGCTGTAAATATATTTATATAAAGCCTAGTCTTTACTTACCCAGGCTAATGAACTGACACCATCAGCTCCTGACTTGGTGCCTATGTGACTGGATCCTGTTATCTTAAACTTAACCAATGATTCACAACTTAATTTTCTTATTTGATATATCTCACTGTGTAAGACTGCTTCTCTTAGTGCATGAAAATCTTCAGGAAAATATTAGTTTGGAAGCTAAACATCAAGAAACAGTTTGAATACTGAATGTGTTATTAGAGTAATTTACTATTTCACCCTGATAGAAGTATTTTTGCTAAGGAACACTTTGCTTATTTTCTTTATTCATAACATTCAAAGAATGTATACTTTCATTTAAACACAAAAATTAATCAGTATAAATTATTTTTAAATGATATTAAAATCTATATTAGCATTAATCTAAACCTTATTCTATAAGGGTTTAAGGGAAAAATATTGTAAAGATAATATATGTATATCACTATATGATGATAGCATAGTTTAAACAAATTATCACCTGGGGAAATGAAACGCTACTACTAGGAAAACATGTTGATGTCTAAGACAATTTTCATGACATTAATGATATCTAATAATTCATACCTCAGAGATAACTCCCAGGATTTACATTAGGTAAGAGTTTTATTAAATTATATCTTATAGAAGTTGTATCATCTCATTTTACTTTACAAAGAGCAATATTTTATAAGCATTGAGGGGTTATGGCTGGGTACCGTAGGCTACATAAACCCCCAGGAAAGTGAAATACACCTTAAGTGAAAAACAGAAATCACCATCCACAACAGCACTGAGACTCACTGAGAATGGAGCTTCCTGTTTATAATTTAGGTTAAATGATCTTAGTGTTTAACATCTTCCTAGTGGTTGCTATGTTGGCGTGTGCACAGATTTCTTCTGTAATCTATTCTTAAAAGTGTCTTAGCACTTCATTCCTTTGAAGTATTGCCCAGTCATTTTATGCATGTATCGTGCTTCACTTGATATTCCCACAATGCACAGGAGGGGTTGGAGATGGAGAGAGAAAGAGAGAGAGAGAGAGAGAGAGAGAGAGAGAGAGAGAGAGAGAGAGAGAGAGAGAATAAGAATAAGAGAGCTGGAAAGGTCATATATTACTGACTTCTCCAGAGGCTCAAGGTTACTCAGGAGGTGCTGTACCAAGGCCAGGATTCAGTCAACTATGTCTACATCCAATGGAGGTTTATTATGATACAAAGGTGAGAGGGTATGGGAAATACCTGTGTCTAAAATAAAGCCAAATACTTATTTGAAAAAACAACTTTCTAGAGCAGTTGAAAACACTGGTGTTCAGCTGGGACAGGGAGTGAACACTGAAGAAAGACGCTGCTGAAAGGGCGGCTAGGCTCCCTTTGACAACCGTATTTGTCGAACGCTAACCAGGTTCCAGAATACTGCTCGGGGCTTTACTGGCCTTCTCACAAAAGCCTGAGAGAGGCCTTGAACCGTTGAACCTCTTCCCATTTTGTCTAGAAATCAGGAAGGAGAGCTTGGATTTATACAACGCGGCTCCTAAACCAGTATCTCCTTTCAGGTGTTTCCCCCACCTGCCTTTCTCTGGTGTCTTTTTCTGTGCTCACTCCTAATTTCTTCTAGGAAATACAGTGAGAACAGAGGAGAGGTACTGTCAGCCGCACAGAAGGGAGGAGGAAGCCCTAACTGCGTCCATGCTTTAATTTGCTTACTGGCTTTGGGCAACTCTGCAACTCTGACCTTGCTCAGCTCTGGGAATGCCCACGGTAGACAGTGGGAGAAACTTCCAGCACAGAAAGGGCTAAGTTCAAGGAATGAGCTAAGGGAGACTGTAGAAAGCCTAGCTGACCGGATCTGCATTGAATTGCTCAGGAAAAGAACATCTGCCCCACTACAAAGCCTTTGCAACTAGGAGGGAGGGGGCGGGGCGGGGGAGGGGGTGTTCCAAGGGCGCACAGCTGGGAGGGGCTGATCAGGATCACAGCACTCGCTCCACTGCAGGAGAGGCTGACTACAGAGCCTTCGCTACTGAGGTCAAGAACTTGGACTTCAAACAGAACCCACAGACACTAAGCAGCAGATCCAAGGAAGAGTTTCCATTCTTAGGAATACAATTGGCAGTGTCCCGTGGGCAGGCTGCTCAAGGTTCTTAGAGTGAAGTCTAATTAAAAAAGCGGCTACTTCCGGGTGTAGAGGTTCATGTCTGTCATCTACCACTTAGAAGGATGGAAGTAAAGCAGCAGGATGTAGTTCGAAGCCAGTCTGAGCTACATATGGAATTTGATATCAGCCTAGGCTAGAGAGGGAATACTTTTCTCACTTGAGGGAGGGAGGGAAGGAGGGAGGGAAGGAGGAAGTTCATTTATAAACTAAACTTAGGTGGAAAGATAGCCACCATTTTCCTATTTTATTTCAAAGTTATAAATAGAAATCCCAAGTGCTCTAACAGGATTGTGTGACCAGGAAAAGTGAACAGCCAATCCCCACTGTTCTCACAGGCAGAGCTGTCCCTCTAAAGACCCCCATGCACCAATATGGGGCTTTAGTTGAACCACCAGGTTAAGCCCTGGTTATGGAGAAGTTCATTTGCAGTAACAGGTAACACCGTTTGCTTATAAAACCAAAACCAGCAGCTAGAAAGGAAAGGAAGGAGAATGAGAGTCAGAGGAGAGGGAGAATGCCTCCTGAGAGACGAGATGTGGAAACCCAGTTTGAATTGAAGAAAGCAAAGCTCCCTGTAAGTAACCATTTCATTAAAGTTGCACGAATTGCAGAGTTTCTCACAGGAGCTGCACATTGTGGGCTCAGATTAAGGATAATGGGTTCCCGTGTGAATTCTCCTCATTACTTCTCTTGAAAGAGCAGTAAATCTACAGAAAGAGTAATTTAGGTTTACTGTTCACAGTCCATTCGCTTTGCTTATAAGCGCCCCTGTTTAGGATTTTAAAAATATAATGCAGGTATAATCCAAAAGAAAAGATATCAGCCCAAAATGAGCCAATTTCAGCTCCTCAAATAGGCATGGTATTCAGGTCTGTGCAACAGGCTGCAGACATTTTGTACCAATAGATAATGATGGAGTTCTACTCTCAGGAGCCACACACAGACAGCAAAGGAGAGATTGTTTCTATGGACCCTGAATTATTTGCACGTTTATATGACCCTAAGTACTCTATTCATCTTTCCATCAATATTCACTCTCAATTAGATTCCACAGAAAGTAAATGGGTTGAAAACTTTTCTTCAGATTCAAAAGAAAATAAATTATTTAGGAAGAAAATACCTGTAAAATGAAATGTGAATTATTTAATTATAGGAGTGTGCTGCTACAAATTCACTTTCAAAGCCATAAGCCTTACCCTTGCTGATTTTAAACTGCTACCAAATTCATTTGGTGATGGGATGCTTACAACCCAGAGCAAAGCTTAGGTGATCGGTACACCTGTCACCCCAGCAGTTGAGTGGCTGACAAAGGAAGATTCTGAGTTTGAGACTAGCCTTGACACCCTATTGAAAACTTTGTCTCAAAGACAAATAAATAAGCAAATAAATAAATAAATAAATGAAACAAATAGCCCCAGAATAAAGCAGGAGAAATGGCAGTCATCCTTACAGGTGGAGTTATGTCTGTGGCTTCTTCTCTACTTTCTCATCAGACAAGTTTCCCATTCTGGTCCAGTAATGTCCTACTCAGTGGCTCCTGGCTACTGAGCTAAGTGTCTGGGTTGAATGAGCCCCTAGAATCCTGTAGCATGGGGGGCCAGGGTGGTCCCAAACTGCTGGAGACAAATATTCCATCACTTATAAATGATCTTGACTAGAATCTGAACAACTGCTTATAATATTTAATTTTCTTTTGTTTCTCCACTGAAATGAAAGATCAGAGTGTTTTAAAGTTTCCACTTTGTATTTGAAATAACTGAGCACTTGGTCTAGGTGAGATGAGAAGGTGGATAACATTTCTTCATCCCACCAGAAAGCAGCCACATAGAAAATGAATCTCCTTAGGTTTGTGAGTAAGGGTATATCCTAAGGAAGTCATCATTATGACATTTGATGGACATTTATTTCATTCAGCAAGTAATTGTTGTGACATTTTAATTCATTTTTAATGCATTCTTGCTATGAAGCAGTTTCTTGTTTATGAATCAATCAGACTGTGTCTTAACAAATTATTTCGTGAGAAAAAATTCCTATACCCTTAGATTCTCCAATTGTAAGATTAGCCAGAAGGAAAAATAACTAGGAGAGAGAGAGAGAGAGAGAGAGAGAGAGAGAGAGAGAGATCTAAAACATGGGGGATCACAAAGTAATTCATTGAAAGAAAACAACTTCTGTGTGATGAGAGCTTTAACAGCTCATAACAACATACCCTTCCTACTAACACTGAGGATAAAAATCATGGATTCCCTAGACATTAGTTTTCTTTTCATGATATGACAAACCCATTCATTTATTTCAAAACAAAAGCAAACAACTAAATTCTTAAATAGTTATTAGTATGTTTTACCTTGTAAGGACAAACACATTGTCTTCAAAAGTATCTTTCCTTCATTCCATCCAACATTAAAAGCTCTTGGATCCGGGGGTCCTTCTCTGGGATAGTTTATTAAGCATTTTTAAGCACTCAGTTTATGCATTAATTCCTAGAGGATGTTATTACAAACTGTGCACATTCAAGCCAACCTTCCCTTCTTTGCAGCATGAAAACAAGGGGATATTGAGGTCATTCTATTGTTTTACCCTGTGGGGGAGAATATACATCATCAGGTTTGGTGGCACATCCCTATAATCCCATTACTCAGTAGGCTGAACTGGAAAGATCAGGATTACTGCAAGTTCAAAGCCAGCCTGGGCTGAATATTGAATTCCAGTCCAGCCCATACATAGTGAAACTGTGTCTCAAAGAACAAACTAAAAGTGGGGGTTTGTCGGGGGGAGGAGACATGAGATATAACAACATCAGGTCTTTACATGATCACAGTAAAGCCATTAATTTTGACAAAGTCATTGAAGGTCAGTGCTAGGTAAGGAAGGGTTTATATCAGTTGGACAGTCATCTACAGGGCCCTCCCTCATCCCATAAGCAATACATCAAAAGATTCTCTTCCTGGCACTTATTGATCACCTAACTGCAATAATTGAACTAGGCTCTCATCATTCTGTTCCCAACAAAAGTCAAATGTTTCTCTAGATTCCTTTTGTTTTATGGCTGCGTTAACATGGGTTCAGGCTGACCCCAACCCTTGATGATGGTGGCTATGGGAGGATTGTATCTTTGTTACATAAAGACACATGGCTGGGGACCAGTCATCTCTCTCCTAAGTGCTGTTACATTCTGTGGCCCACGGTGTATTTACAAGAGGAAATATTCATTAAATCCTCGTGAGATAATCTTTCAGCAGCTACCTTCTCATAATTAATGTCCCACTAGTTGCTATTTCTTTCCACACAGTTTTACTGTCATAAAAATAGGCCTGTCTTTCAATAACAAAGCAGTAACTTTTAGTGATTTTCCTATACTTTTAAAGAGTGACTGGTATATACTTCAATATCTCTTAACTATTGATGCTAGATCATTTTATGCAATATTCAATGTTAAAACTCTTTTTGAGCAATTGTGAAAAGTATAACTTGATATGTTCCTTAAGACAGGGCATGTTTGATGTCTGCGTTGTTGTCTTATAAGTGGTAAGGCCAAAGATGGGCCCTTTAAATATGTAAAGTTCCCCCTTAAACCACCTTGAATTAGGCAGATTTGCAACATTTTAAACTGGCACTTCATCCCTCTTTCAGCAAGCATCCTCTGCAGATTTAATGATCAGGAACATCCTTCTGATGCATGCTGGGAGATATGGCTGCAGGGTACAGACCACAGCAGACAGTGTGTCAGATGAGGCAGAACTTCTTGTTAGGGGTGAGTATGCTAATAGCTCAGACTGCAGACACGAGCACTATAAATTACCCTACGAAGGGACTGGAATGCATGGACTTGGGGCCTTCAGCACTGTGCTGTTGACTGTCATTTTCACCATCTCTGTCGTTTTTGCTTAACCTTGTTTTGCCTTTGAGATGATGATGTAGGAAACCTCTCCTTAGGAACAGACAAAAGCTAAAAGCTATCTCCAAAACACTTGCAGTAATGAGTGGCTGCTAAGTGGCAAACCAACTTAATCCCAAACTCAAAAGCATAGCTGCTCTGAGACACTTGAGTCACACAGTCAGGGTGTGTGTGTGTGTGTGTGTGTGTGTGTGTGTGTGTGTGTGTGTGTGTTTGAAAGCTGTATGTATAAAAATATGTACATATACATACACATATATACATATCTGTATGCATACAGCTTTCAAATGCATGAGTGTATATGTATGTTTTATATGTATGTATGTATGTATATATACAGCTTTCAAATAAAAAGCCAATGGAACCCTCAGGCATTATATTTTTCTCTTTTTCCCTACCAACTTCAAAAATCCAGCTTCCAGAACCAAGAAAACTTTACATGTAAGAGGGTATATAATTATTAAATGACAGGGATTTTTTTCTGAGCCTGAAAATATCAACATACAGCCTGTCTGTGCAAAAATGACAGCTAAGTGTTTCCAAATTATGAGCCACCCCCTTAAAATCTCTGCAATCCTATGAAGTTTTGTCTTGTTTCAACTAAGTCCATGTCCATAGCACAAATTGCTTCATTTTTGCTCAAGATGAGAAATGTATATCCTAGCATGTCTTTTCCTTCACTTCCTTTTGTCCTCCTCCTTTTTACCACTCTCTTTTCTCTCCAAACTGTCACTTACAACTTGATCTTTTCTCATAACTTGATATTAAGTATAGTTTATCCATAGACAGCTTCCAAAATTCTTGAATTGTGCACAGCCACAAGTAATGTAACTATAACCCAGAAAGTAATCGCCAAGGCCCTACCCAGTACGCTTCTCTTTTCCCCAATCTTACAGAGATGTGTGACACATGCTTCCGGTTCTTGCACAGTTCTATGCATATAAACATTTTTAGTCCATAGCAAGAGATGATATTTTTAAATAGCTGACCTTTAGCCATTTGAAGTGCTTTTCAATTATCATTTTAAGAACCGATGTTTGTAAGAATTTCCCACAGTAAACAGAAAGGTGAAGGACAACCTCTTAGCTGCCAACTGTTTATTGGTGTGCAGTAGTGCACCCACCTCTGTTTCCAGTGAGGTGATTTTAAAGATCTGTGTCAGTGAGGATAAGCTTAGTCTTGTCGGGTATGCTTGTTTCTCCTTACAAGGTTGTTCTTTCTTATCTCCAAATTTTGTATCATGAATGTATGCTATATCACCTTATTGTAAAACAAACCTTTTGAAAGTGTTCCTCTTTCGATACATCACATTCCGTGTAGTTGAAAATGTCCTTGTGCCTTCTGAAGGTGCCAGTTTCCCGGAACTGCACACTGTATCCTACAGTGAAATTGGTAGAAAATTGCTTTCTTCTCTCGCTGTTGTCTTCCTTAGTTATGTGTATTAACTCGGTGCACTTGACTAGTAATTTAGATTGATCCTCCTAAAACTAGAACTTTCCAGATGAACACCACAATTTAGACGCTGATAACAAGAAACCAGGTATTTTTTTTTTTCTGGATTCTAAGGGACAAATTTAAGTGGCAAACTGCATATCCTGCTTTGTAAGTAAAATTAAACTCAACAGGGTTCAGAACATAATTCAAGGCCAACGTTTTTATGTTCTGCTCTTTTAGCCTTTGGCTTTATGCCTAGGAGATGATTAAATGCATTAATTTTGGAATTGTACCCAATAGCAATTTCAAACAGGTTGCTAGTGTCTGAATATTTATGTATCAGTGAGCTCAAGCTTTCCCTTGAAGTGAGTTTAATCCAGTCACCAATTTTTGATTATGTACTCTCATTATATTTCAGAAATTAGGGAAAATAATTTGCTTCTCCCTCCCAGCTAGTCTTTGAGAGATATTTAAACTAGACTAAGACATGTTTCATCTATCATCATCGTTTTATGATGAAAATGAAGGACTTGTGGTCATCTGGGGAGCTTTGCAGCTGGAATGTTCCTTGCTTAGTGTTGATCTGTGAGAGTGGCTTTACTCTCCATGTCTCCTGGCCCAACCCTTCCCTTCTCTGGAAAGGAGGAACACTCTTCTATTCCAGGCAGTAAGGCCAAAGCTGAGCATTCTAGAGTGAATTTTTCTAAACGCTGTTAAAACTCAAGTGGCAACGTTATTGTTTTATAAGTTAACACAATGCTGATGGGATCAGTGAAGACCATACCACCACTGATTAGGCTGTTCACTTTTTTCAATGTTGATCACACACGAGGCATACATTAGCTGCAAGGAATATGTTCTTAAGATCATATTCTGATGTTGACTTAGGAAAACAATCTCTACTCTCACAGCCTGATGAAAGCTCTTCTTATAGCCTTAGTTGCCATTAAACATGCTCTATAACATTCCTTTGTGCATCTTAACGTGTCCTGTGCTGGTACTCTAAGTTGGGTCCAGGTGTGTGGCTCTTTACCCCACTACTCCTTATTTAGATTTGGAATTCTCCAGACTCCAGCTCCTTGCCTCTCTCTCATTTTGTGTTTTAAGGGCTATCTTTTCTTCAAAACTTAATTTTACTTTTGCTTATAAATTTGGTTGTGACTGTTAATGCAATTTCCCATTTCCCTTCCACCATTATCATTATCCAAAATTTCAATATTCTATAAATAATTACATGCAACATAACATCAATCATCTGTTCTTACAGATTTTTATTTCATACAGCATTAATGGCACCATGTAATCTACAGAACAACAGAAAACCCAGCAATCATGAATATCCTAAAAGAAATTATCATGTTGGAATGTAAATATAAACAGAAACTAAAGCTAGGCTCAGACATCTGGAGACCATTTATTTTCTTTACTTCTGAGAAGTGTATAAAAGCAATAGAGAAAGCAAGATCATGCCATGCTGTAGGAACACGTGAAAGATGAGAAGAGCACTCTATTCTATTATTCAGGGGAAGAGATAGACCTTCAGGATAGAAACTCATGGGAGGAGACACACTACTTTGAAAGACCTGACACACTCAGGTAATATGAGAAACAGAAAGAAGTATTCTTTTGTTATTTGATGATTCAAAAATCAGTTATAAATATTTCTCACAGTATATATAAAAGTAGGAAAGTTTCATGCTTTAAATAAGACATGCTTAGCTCAACTAATTTTACTGGGAGCCTCAGCCTGAGTTCCTTTCAGAGGTAGTGGAAACAATTAAGAAAATAATGTTTCATTCAACTTCTGTATTTCTTTTCAACATTTTCTTAATGAAAAATTGTAAGTTGGGAAGGTCTGAGTGAAGCGGGACAGTGTATGTCTATAACCTCAGCACTTACATGGTAGAGCAGAATTAAGAGCTCAAGGTCAGTCTCAGGTATATAAGACAGTTTCAAAGAAAATTAAATAAATTGTGAGAATAGTAAAAAGAAAGGAAGGAAGGAAGAAAAGAAGAGAAGAGAAGAGAAGAGAAAAGAAAAGAAAAGAAAAGAAAAGAAAAGAAAAGAAAAGAGAAGAGAAGAGAAGAGAAGAGAAGAGAAGAGAAGAGAAGAGAAGAAAAGAAAAAAGAGAAAAGAAATAGGAAAACTAACCATCTTCTGGGTCCTTCTGATCTCTGAAATCTGTGCAGCATTTTCCAGATGCAGCTAGCATGTATATATAACTGAATTTGAGACCAATGGACCCCCGAACATATTACTTGTTTGGGTATATCTGTTTTCAGGCATATGCTTCTAACCCCACACCATCACTTCTTCCTCCGAGAATTAAACTCACATTAAATTCAATTTCCTTGACTTTTTTTATCAACTCAGTTTGATATATTCATTCCAATTTTTAAACTTCAATAGTTTAATATTTCTCAAACTGCCTAGTAATTTCCATAACAAACTAATGCCCTCAAAACAGTACTAACTTAATGAGATAAGTCAACAGATGCCTATTTATAACTTGTTATGTATCTCTTCCCTGTCCATTCATCCAAACTGTGGCAGCTGAGGTGTGGTCAGCACTCAGAATGAAAAGATGAAGCTGAGGCCTTGGACAGCTGGAGGTTCCACTTATGCTCCATCTGTGTGACAGATGCTTTTGTGAGAAGCACCACATGAATGTCCCTTGGTAACCTTGGGTCTTGCAAGAGAAGTAGGAGGAACTACAAAGCACAACAATGGTCCCAAATGAACAATTTGAGGTACCCAACACAAGAGAGAGATACAGTTGCCTCAGTGAAGGTTATTTAGAACTCCAGAATAGTGATGGTAAGACACCACTGTGAGCACAGGGCTCCATCAAGCTCAGGGCACTGGGCAGTGTACGTGTTACACACATGTGAAGCCAACATATGTATCTGTTAAATTATGTATCACTCTAGCAAGCCAAAGGGAGGGCATGGGATAGATTATTTAAAAATTAGTTCATAAAGTTAGATACACAGAGCCTCCATATCAGTTTTTTATACTAAAATAATCTGTTATTTTACTACATGAGCCTTATATTTTGAAAGAGTTTACATATTGGTCTGAAGTGATCATTACAGATATTTCTATCTTATACGTTTAATTTTTTTATTTTTCTCTGTGGGGTGCATTTGTGTGTGTGTGTGTGTGTGTGTGTGTGTGTGTGTGTGTGTGTGTGTGTGTACACTCAGGTTGAGGTCAGAGGGCAACTTGTAGGTGTCACTTCCTTCCTTCTGTCATGTGAGATTGGACTCAGCTCACCAGGCTTGTTGTCCAGTACCATTACCTACATAGCCATCTCACTAGCTCAATAGTTATATTTTAATTCAAGAAAAAGAACCATGTTTTTATCATATAATAGATGATGCTACCAAACAAGATAATTTATTTTCAGACAACTTCAAAGA